CGCACACACACACGCGCGCGCGCGCGCGTAACATATTGAAAAAAAAAACATTTTTATTTATAAAACAGTTACATAACAATTACCATAATATTCTTTGTTCTATTCAATACAAAATATTTACGATTACTGCTTGCAGTTTACATCTTCCTGGGAACGCCAATGTCACTGATAGATATGATGAATTCAATGCAAGGCCAAAGATTGCTGGACAACGGAGAGTATATGGTAATATACGTGGACATGATGACGTATTCGCAACGTGAAGCACAGAAGTATTTGTGGAGTAAGTGAATCTAGGGAATCTTATCAAACGTTTATGTCGGTGAACAGTAGCATCGATAAGTCGATTGCGTAATCGTCAGGAATCTTATGTTACTTATATCGTACAAATATAATGTTACAAAATTAATCTCTTAGTAAATTCAAAATTAAATTATTGTGTATGCACATTTTTTAATCGAAAACCTAAAGATTTGTTATCTAAAAGTCTTGCATAGCAGTTATGTCTCGATTTCACAACAGTAATAATTTGTCATTATTGATACAGAACCCGATCACTACAATAGTTTGAAAAATTGTCTTGAGCCGAAGGATTTTCTGAAGAGAGCACGTTCACTGATGGTTGTAGTGTCGACACCGCCAACGAGCAATTATGAAGAATTTACCAAAAAGGTCCGACACTACAGTACCATAGATCCCTTTAATTTCCATGTTCCTGAACTTCTCAAAAAGTTTGAAAAGGTATTTTTAGATAGTGAATTAATCGTAAATGTTCGTACCACGTCATTTTTATTATATGCTTAATCTCCGTTTCAGTATGTATCCATTTACGCGGCATATCTTTACGATTCTGTCAAGCTATACGCGGAAGCTTTAGACCAATTAATACGAGCTCATCCGTACCATTCTATCGAGGAACTGGCCAAAAATGGCACTCTTATAGTCGAGACAATTATCAAAAGACATACATATTACAGTAAGTAGCTATAATAATGTCAAATAGATATAATCTATATAGATAGAATTAATCTCAAGTGGTTTGCACGATTTAATACTCGACATATCTATGATACGAGAGGAGAGCAATTAGATCGAAGATGAATTGACATAATTCTTAAGTGGATCTCTTCCTTGTTTTTAAACATTGAAGATCGTCTAAAAAAATCTTTATTAAAATTTATCTTTTTTTTGTTTGTTAGGTGTGAGTGGAGCAAAAATAAATTTAGATAAATTTGGAGACTCGGAGGGAAACTTTTCAGTGCTTGCTTTGAAAAAAGAACCATTCCATACTGATAATTTCTCCTGTGATTATCAGATGTTGCCTGTAGGTCAATTCCAGCAGGGTGAAACTCTAGTGAGTGAGTTATTTATAGCGTTTGAAAAATTTTTACGACAGTTCAAAAATAGAAAAAAGGTCATTCCATATTTAAATCATTGAATTATAAAAATGGAAAGTTCTGTGATGGTGTTGAGTAAATACAACATATATTTACATAATACAGGTGTATAAATCTTGGCCAGGCGCTATAGATTGGCCCGGTAAAAATAAACCTGAAGCAGAACCTGGGTGTGGTTTTCTCAATGAACATTGTCCAAAAGATGACACACATCTTCGCAGCATCATTGTCGCTGCAGCATTAGCTATTTTATTGTTTTGCGCCACAGTAGTTACTGTGAGCATATATCGAAGATGGAAAATAGAACAGGAGATAGAAGGATTACTTTGGAAGATTGATCCGAATGAAATACATGGTTATCCCCATCTTGATAACATGATGTCCTCCCCTAGTAAGGTAAATAGCGCGAGTATTATCGCAATTGAGATGGATGACAAAGTGCTTGTTCGTGTGTTGACCTCTTGATGCATGATGTAAGAAATCAATTTCTTTCGATTACAGTTAAGTTTAGTTAGTGCAATGTCCTATGAGTCGAGATGTGGCGGCCAAGTGTTTGCGCAAACTGGACATTACCATGGTGTAATGGTACGGATAAAGGAATTAAAATTCTCAAAGAAAAAAGACATTTCACGGGATATTATGAAGGAGATGCGCATTCTCCGTGAAATTAGACATGGTAATCTCAACTCTTTCATCGGAGCGTGCGTGGAGCCGATGAGGATATTGTTAATTACCGACTATTGTGCCAAAGGAAGTCTTTATGTACGTCATATTGCAATCATGATGACATCCTGTTATTAGTTATTAGCGCCGAGACACTACCGTGTCTCCAGATAATATAGTATTCATATATTATGTACATATACAAGAAAATATTCAATATATTATCGTATACATAAATAAAATAAAATAAAAAGTAAGATCCGACCATGTAAATATACAACATACATATGATAGAGAGCGCCAATAATCGGTCAAAAAATTAGATGTTATAAAATACAACATATATATATTCTTAATTTAAATTTAATTATCTTAGATGTGACAGTCTGAAACAATCGGACATTAATCACAATCGATCTGAGACGCTAATAATATAAATATGATGAAGAACCGAAATATTCATATATAGGAATGTTCGAATTTTTCAGCGCACAGTCACATCTGGGATAATTAAAGGACCCCGCACAAAATTATAGGATTTTGGCCTTCGATGAAATTGGCTGAAACGTTAGTATGTTATAATTCTTGATTCACTGATCAAAAGTGTCCATAGGCACAAAGCTTAAAAATAACTGGTTTTTTTGTTATAGCCATTTGAATTTGATTATTTTATTAATGCTTCGAAATTAAGTTTCTGTAATAAATAAAGAGATTTTAGGTAATATGCCATGCACTTTCACCATCTTCACTCTCACTCCCTCCATCATCCCCAACCCCACACACATACGCCCGCGCGCGTATTTTTATATGAAAAAGGTGCATAAAAATCGAAGTAATCTTTTATAATTATGTATTTAGATTCTGTTAGATCTTTACTTCTCTTACGTGTATCGTTTGAAATGCGTGAGTTCCTTTACCTCTCACGTGCGAGATGCTCACTACCCGAATGTTTCCGTATACAAAAATATCTCTCGGGTACTTGCTGAAGTGGGGGTGGAGGTGGGTGGTGGGAATGAAGTGAGGAGGGACAGTAGATGGCATATTGATATCTAAAATCTCTTCATTTATTACAGAAATTTGATTTTAAGGCATTAATAAAATTTATGTTATACAATTCTTGACTCTGATCTTGACTCAAAAACGCTCATAGGCACAAAGCTTGAAAATGATCTTCTTTTTTGTTATAGCTGTTTAAAATTTTATTTTATTAAATTAAAAATATATATTGTATTTATAACATCTAACTTTGATCATTGACGCTCTCTACCATATGTATGTTGTACATACGTAAATAAAAATTACGTACATAGTGTAAATCGACTTAAAATTTAGATAATAAGATAATAAGAAACAGTGAGAAAGAAAATATATGTCGTATGTTTTAGGACATAGTTGAAAACGAAGATATTAAATTAGATGATATGTTCATTGCTTCCCTCATTCACGATCTTATTAAGGTAAATGTTTTTGAAATTTACACTACATATCGTAAAATTTTAATGCAATTTTATTAAACAGGGCATGTCATATATTCACGAATCTTCGTTGTTAGTATGTCATGGGAATTTAAAGTCGTCCAATTGTGTTGTAACTTCACGTTGGGTACTTCAAGTATCTGATTTTGGTCTTCATAATATGCGTCATTGCGCCGAATCTGACAGCATCGGTGAACATCAGTATTATCGAAGTATGCGGATATTTATTCTATATTTTTATCATTGTATATTTTTCACGTTATTTTAATTATTATATGAATCAAATTATTATTTAATAATGTTTAATTACTATTTATTCCATTGTAGACTTATTTTGGAAAGCCCCCGAGCTATTAAGAAACTCACATGCTCCGATTAAAGGCACTCAGGCAGGAGATATTTATTCTTTCGCCATTATTCTATATGAAATTCTTGGACGCAAAGGACCGTATGGAAATATAAATCTGGAACCCAAAGGTAATTATAATAAGTGGTAATGTGTATAGCGAGGAAGTAATATAAATGTAACATCAATATTCGACTCAAATACAAAAAAAAATTAATGCGATTATTAATAATATTATGACAGAAATCATAGATCGAGTAAAAAGATTTCCGGAAGATGGTGAACCACCGTTTAGGCCCAATTTAAACGTACTCTCCGAGTCGAAAGCAAATTGTGCCGATTATGTCGTTATCACTATCATGGACTGTTGGGCGGAAAATCCAGAACTTCGACCAGATATCAAAATGATAAGGACTAGATTGAAGAGAATGAAAGCTGGATGGCATCGAAATATAATGGATCAAATGATGAATATGATGGAGAAGTATGCGAGCAACCTCGAAGATCTAGTCACCCAGCGTACGGGACTTCTCTTGGAAGAAAAAAAGAAAACTGAAGATCTTCTTCATAGAATGTTACCTAAGTAAATTTTTGCAAACTGACATGCTTATTATCAGTAAAAAATAATAAGTATGACTATAAAATTGATCTGAATGATAAATATATTTACAAAAAAAAAAGTATTATTTCATTTTAGGCCTGTCGCGAATTGTTTGACAAACGGTATTGGGGTAGAACCGGAAGCTTTTGATTCAGTTACTATATACTTCAGTGATATCGTTGGTTTTACTACAATGTCAGCTGAAAGTACACCATTTCAGGTATATATTTTCACTTATTGGTTTATAATTAGTAAAACAAAAATGTTATGAATCAGCCATGCGAGCTAACACAGGTTAGGCGTGTCTGAAATCGTATACTTTATTCTTGAGAAAAATTGATAAACTTTTCAATCTTTTCGATTGGGTCTTGCTCAGTGTAAAAATAAAAATAAAATCGATGACGTATAAATTTAATATAAAAGATGCAATGCGAAGCTAATTGAAGTATCATTTATATATATAAAATGATAATAATGCTGTCAGTCGTATCGAATAAACTTAAATCTAACAAACTTAAATCTAACATTTCAGATTATGTATAATAATGTTAACGATGATATATGAGATAAGACATGTTAACACAAAGACGTTCAAAGAGTATGTTACATGTCTTATTTCATATATTATCGTTAATATTATTATACATAATCTGAAATGTTATATTTGGGTATTTTGTTAGATACGACGGACAGCATCATTATTATCATTTTATGAATACATGTTAATGATACTTCAATTAGCTTCGCATCGCATCTTTTTATTAAATTTATGCATCACTGATTTTATTTTTATTTTACATTGAGGAAGACGCAATGATTGATGAAACGTCAATTTTGTCAATTTTTTTCAAGAATAAAGTATACGATCACACATACCTGTGTTGGCTCGCATTGGCTGATTTACATCTATCCTTGGATTTATTCGTTGGAGCCTATATCAAGATTGATAGTTACAAAAATGTTATTTATGTAATTGATAATTGTGACGACAGGTTGTAAATTTCTTAAATGATCTGTATACATTGTTCGACCGTATAATCAGAGGATACGAAGTGTACAAAGTAGAAACGATTGGAGATGCCTATATGGTCGTAAGTATACTGTTCGAAATTTCGTAATGAATTTAAATATGTATAGAAGCTTGTGATTATTTATATATATATATAATAATAATTGAAAAGTAATGAATAGTTTAATTGAAAACTAAGTTACAGTAGTCTTAAATGTAATGAATGTGTGCATTAAATTTCATGCAAATCCACATAAAATTTTATGGAAAATATATTAAATTTGATATAATATTATGAAATTAATAATATTTTTAATAGTAGCATTTTTATCTAATTAATTACGAAAAAAATGAGTTCCCAATACTTAATACTTTATTCAGGTTTCCGGTCTTCCAATAAGAAATGGAGATCAACATGCTGGACAGATAGCATCGATGTCGCTGGAATTACTTAATGCTGTTAAGCATCATACGATAGCTCATCGACCTCAAGAAACTCTCAAATTACGTATCGGCATTCATACCGGTAAGAAAAGATACATTCAGAAACATACATATACATATGTATATGCATGCATATGTATATATACGCATATATATCATTATGTTGCTCAGTAATAACATGAATATAAAATTACAGGCCCTGTGGTAGCAGGTGTTGTCGGTTTGACGATGCCTAGGTATTGTTTATTTGGAGACACCGTTAATACTGCGTCTCGTATGGAATCTACTGGAGAGCCATTACGAATACATATCAGTAAGCAATGCAAAGAAGCGCTAGATAAGATCGGAGGTTATAAAATCGAAGAACGTGGTTTCATTGAAATGAAAGGAAAAGGAACAGTGAAGACTTACTGGCTTACAGGAGCTACTGTGACACACAGAAAAAACATAGAGGTTTGTGAATAAAAATTAGAATGAAATTTGAATGAATTGTATAAACCATGAATGTATATAGTATAATAAGGATGTATTCTTTCAGAATTGAAGATTTTTTTCTTAATTAACTCTTAAAGTTATTGAAATTATGTAATTATGTCAAATAGTAAATTAGTATCAAGAATAAATTGTAGTATTAAAAATACATTTTTCTCTTTAGAAATTTCCAATTTTAAATTTATTTTAAATTAAAAGATATTTTATATCGTTTATTTTAATATTTAAAATTAATTGATTAATGAGCTTGTTAAATTTTATTTACAATTGAACTTACACTGAAGTTATCGCTCTCTAATGAACTGAATCCTTATGTCTCTACAGAATTCTAACGGGGATGAAAATCTCCTACCGCTGTTCTGCAGACCACGAAAAAGCCCGAAGTTAAGTCCAGACTCGCGATACGCATCACAACTAGAAGGATTAGGCGCCGGTAGTCGCAGACATTCAAGTGTACCATATCCAATTGCAGATGACTCTTCTTCGCAGTGTGAGATATCTAGTCCAGTTTCGCGAATAATATATGCTCGGAAGCTCGAGAGATCTCTCCTGTCTCTGACTGAAAACGTCTCGAAGACCACGCTAAACAACGTTCCAGTTCAGGAAGAAGAAGAAGCACACAGGCGCTTAAATATCAAGTCGGTAGATGATCTATTCATAAATACAGGACCAAAATTTAGGAAGAACGCCCGTGCATTATCTACCATCGCGTCCTCTTCGTCAAGTGACTATCCATCTGAAACTGTCTTACGCGAATCCCGTTCACTTGACCCACTTCCCACTGATATGTATAATAAACGATTCGAATCGCCGAACTTCTGGAAGGAAAACGAATGCACACGGATTAATTTAAAAGCGGACATTTCTGAAAAAATGCTAAATAATAATTATCCTAATGGCAATGTAATAATGATGTCTCATACTGACAGGCTCCCAAATGAAGCAGAGCCACTGTTAGATGACGATAGTACGAACAAGAGAGAAATACGGGAGAAGCGATCACGCTCACTGGATCAGGTGGTATTCGAATCTAGCACGGACAGTGTACCTGATAAAAAGTCGTCTGCGCGAAAGTTATTAGAAATTCCACCTGTTTCAACTATTATCCAGATGTTCAACGGTAATGGATTGCGCAACAGCAATGTCTCTTTAAGAAGAGGAATATTAGCAGGGTATGATAAGCAAACCGAACGTGAAAGTGTAGTCTAATATGCATTCGGGAAAAAAAATTTTTTAATACGAAAAGCCTAAGTAGCAAGAAATAAAATCACTCGTAAAAACTATGCGCTTGCCACGCATGAACTATGTGGAACATTATTTTAGGAATGATAAGCATGATTTATTGTTGCCATCTTTTTTTCTTAAGTGCAATTTATATGTATATGAAAGTTACCGATTACAATGTATATATTTATAATATTTAGTTATTTTACAATTCTTATTATTCTAAAATGTGTGCATCGAAGCGAAAAACAACTTTTACTTTATACAGGACTGCTCTCCTGTTTTCTTTGTTAAGATTTTTAATTCGAATGTATGTAACACACGGAAACAGCAAATTATTTTTAAAAATCATGACCAAAGTACATCACGGACACTTAATTCATCCGACAATTTATTTTGTTTATTAGTATGAAAAAGGAATTCGGATAGTATCGCATATAATCGATGTCAGAATGGTTTAGATCTTTTTTTTTTTATTTTGTAGGTAACTTTTATAGTTTCTACATGAAAATTATTTCTACATGAAAAAGTAATGTAAGTCGTCCGCGCGAAAATTATTAGAAATTTCACCTGTTTCGACTATTATTTAGATATTCTTCAATGGTAATGACGTCTATTATTTAGATATTCAATAATAATATATCGTTTATACAACATAATAAATCTGTAAAGATTACCTTACGAAAAATTTCTCAATGTTTCAATATCGATTATATATATATATATATTGAGAAATATATATATATATGCACACAAAAATTAAATGTGAAACATAAATGTCATATAAGACGTGTGTATATGTAATACATATATATTAGCACACATGTATGTCTATATCTGTAAGTCTATCTTGTTCATTGATGGAAGTAAATTGTCCGTATGGCTGTGAGAAGTAAACTAGATTATACACTTAAGGTGCTTAGTAATATATCATGTTGTTAAATGTATATAACTAAATAATAATATATCAGTGTAAAAAAAAATGTAAATTAAAAAAAATATTACCTCCTATAAGAGATAATTAAAGGACTAAATTCTTTAAACATTTGGCAATACCATTGTTCTCAATGGGCCCCGATAAAAAGTTTTTTAAAATCGAAGTAATTAGATTTCTAACTTTCATAATTTCATGTGATTTAATTTTTTTGATATTGTTCTCAATATTTTTAATGAAATCCATTAACACTCTCTTACAATTACTGACTGGAACCGGAAAATTCCCCTCCAACTGTAAAAGAATTTGAATTTTACAATATAAAATAATATCAATTCTTTTCGCTCGTATAACTTACAACAAATTAACAAATAGTAGTAAAGCCCAGGTCAATACATTAAACGAGCTATAGCTTGGTGTACTAAATAATATTTATTAAAATACAAATTATAATTTTCCGACAAGTTTCAACGGTACGTTTCATTATACTTAGTCCTCATCAGCCGCAGAAATACATAAATATCTAATTATATTAGGGAGGAATATCTCACCTTCGTGTTTCAAAGGACAGTATATCGCAACCACACATATCATATGTAATCAAACTTGATAAAAATAAACGATGTAGTGAAGAGTCATGATTTCGGTTAATAAAAGCGACAAAGGATAGTCAGTATGAATAAACGAATTTCCAGCCATATTAATGATGTAGCTTGATATCAAATCATATAAAAGGTATTTGCATGCACGAGCAGGAATGGTGTAAGACGTAAGCAGTAAGGAAATCGTAAGATTGGATTCGCTACCTTACGGTCTCTACCGTGATTGAGCAATTCGTTTACTGATTACGTCTTACAGCCTTACGTTTTTATATATACCATGAGCTTTACTGGAAACGTGGAGGAGCGCAAAGGGATAATGGAGCGCAAACTGAAGGACACTCCGATGTTTTGTGCAAGGCACACGATTGAAAGAGTAAGCGTAATTAGACGTAATGTAGGCCCGCGGTCCTTTCGCTGTCTCATACATTTGTTACTAGTACGAGTGATATACCCCGGTATTTCGCTCGCCAATATGCAAAGTGTTGTAATTATGCAGAAAAATTTTTAATACGGCAAAAAAATTGTATGCATAATTACGATATTAAATTGTAATTTTAGAGACTCATTGTAATAACTTTGCGTGCATTTATAAATTTGCAGTGTGCAAATGAAATTAATATTTTGTATCGCAAGATTGCAAAATTAAATTTACAGTTAAATATAAGAACATATAATAAATAAAAAAAATAAATAAAAAAAAAGATAATATAATGTAATGCCGCGCGCCGAACGCCAAGGGACACCATTCCTACCAATGCGTGAATATACGTCCTTAATAATATTAGTAGAAAAACTATATATAAATAGAATAAATTATCGTCAAAATTGAAACTATAAAGACATTAAACAGTTTGTAACTTAAAAACTATCTTTAGTACTTAAAAATATATGGTAAACCGATAATAAATTATAACTATGTACGTGTATTATATAAAAATTTTCCATTAGAACAAAAGCACGCGAAACATAAATAACAAACGCTTTAAATTTATAATGCCAATTCACAAAATTAAATAATTATCAAGGAATAAAGAATAAAGGTTACGCAACACTTACATTAATATAAATGTAAATTTGAATTTTCTTCTGAATAGTCGTATCTGATAAATTAATGAATCAACCCTCCCTTATTGTTTGCAATGACGACTTAATAAATCTTTCTAAAATTTCTTTGGGTTCCAATTTTATCTCCAGTTGATCATTCGTTGCAAAACCATATAATGAATATCTAGGTTCCTCAGAATAATTCATTGTGATTATTATTATTATTATTATTATTATTAGCCTAGTTTACCCCCATCGAGGGTTTAAACCGGATCAGAAAGTAATAATCAACCAACTGCAGTCGAGCAGTTTCCCTGTCGTTTGATTGTAACAGGGGAATATTCGACTGTTGGTTAGTTATTATATTCTGATCCGATTTAAACCGAGTATAGATGTAATAAACGTTTACAGTTTCAACATTCTGATAAATTGATATAAAATATTAATTTAATTTAAAAACTTAACGTTAACATTGTATTATATGACATGTTTCGGCATTATAAAAATATTGTTGCAAGTAGGAAGAAAAGCATCCCGATGGAAATGTGTGTACGACGTAATGAGAGTGAAAAAAGTATGAACAACTCCTCCAGTTTCGTAATTGCAGAATCAAGGTATCTAAATTATTATTTATTATTACATTTTATACAATATATAACAGTGTGCATTTATTGAAAATATCTCGTGTTTGCAAACAGTCAGTTATCATATCGGATCTAGAATGTGTACGTAGGAATTTGTATACTAAGTTTTTTAAAAATAAAATCGACTAATTTAATTTAATATTCTTAAGGGGAGAGAATTTGAAAATGTTGGATCGCTGGCCACCCTGAAATTTTCCTTTTATTTTTAAGAAAAATATTTATATCTATATTTATATATTTATTTTGTTTTTTTTTATACAATCACATGTTTCTATGATACATCTCGTAAACTAATAGCAGAATAAATTAATCCCGGCCACTGAGAAATTTTGACATGAAATCAGTTGGCTTTTTTTCCCAAGTTTCTTTCCAATAATGCATAAGTCCTCCTGTAGGTTTCCACATATTAGCTACTTCTTGCAACTCCATTTGACCCTGTAAAATTATATAACTTTATGTGTTGTATCATAAGTAAAATTTAATTATTAAATCGGTATAAATACTATCGTTTTTATATTTTGATTAATAAATTATATGCAACATTTATTTTATCATATCATGGCCATGTTCTGACATACGCACTATCAGTATGAAAAATATAGTACACATAATAAATTATAGATTTTCAGTATAGGAGTGTATGCTGGAACAAAACCTATAAAATTTTTTCAACAGTATATATGCATATATTACATACATCATGAATATTATTTGTAGATAATTAAAATTATGTTAGTTGCTGGCATCTATTTACATAAAAATTAATGTATATACTCAAAAGAGATTCTTATTCTTACCTTTATAATAAGTTTGTCTATAATCCGTAAATCAGTAAGATGAGCATGACGTTTAAACTCCTCACGTATCTTTTGTTTACAGTCTACTTCATTTTTGGGAATATCATAAGTTAACACTGCAAAAAAAGAAGTGATTGTTATACCCCAGACAGCCGAATGCAATGTATTTTCTAATATGTTGCCGAAAATGTTACAGCAATCAATTTCGACAAACTCAGGACAAGATAAGACATCATTATGTTTGTTGAACTCAATGGAATTCGAATTCTTGCAAATTAATGGCAACATGTCAGCATGAATATCCTCAACAACAATTTGTGTCATATTGTCAGCATTTTGTTAGCAACGAGCTGCAATTAAAAAACTTCACAGCTTGAAGACATATTTGTAGCAACGCATAGAAATCATTATACATGTTCTGTTGCTGTCATGTTTTCATCAAGATGAAACGATTAATTATTCATTACTAACATGTTGCTGTCATATTGCCGACAACATAATGTATAAACGACCATTGCTTACAGTTTGCTCTAAGAAATTTTGACAATTAATTACGTATATAAGCAATCATGTAATAAATTCATAATGTATCCTATTTGATGTCAGCAAATATATAGCAACATATGCAATGCATTATAGTTATATCACGCTTGGCTATCTGGGACGTTTGAGAACGTAAAGTATGAAATAACAAGATAACAATGGCTTTATGTAATTGAAAATATTGTTTTATATTATTGTGAAAATAAACATAATTAAGAAAGTAACGAATTTGGCTTTTACAGATTACAGGTTATGTAATGAAAAAGCTTGCAATTTGTAACATATGACAGTGAGAGTCGCGTACTTGAGATTGGTACTTGACGGATCCATGCTTTGTACAATGTAAGCACCTTTCGACGCGCATCTTCTCGATTAATAGATAAAATTGGTTTCACTTGACGAACAACACTCGTAGCTCGACTAGCCATTTTAACTAATTCCGTCGACACTCAACTTAGTCGACACAATCAACTTATCAACTACAGATTACTGAGTGCAGACTGCACTCGGCCGTCGATCGCCAGCGATCGGCAAGTCTGCTGTCGTCGCGTCGCGTTACCGTCGCACAGAGGGAAATAAACGACAATTAACTGCTACTGCTAATTAACTGCAAAAATCGCTACAGACTGTAATTCTTTGATCGAAAGGAATTTTTTTTTAATCAATTGTTAATAAATCCCAAAGAAAACTGTAGAATTGGATTTTTTAAAAAGACCCTCTAAAGTGTGCAATATTAATAACAATCTGGAAATTATTTTTTAGTTGAATTATTTGAATTGATGTGCTTTTTGCACTAAGCTATCTTATATGTATTTTTTGTTGAATACGAATTTGATATGTTCAAATTAAGATTTCATTGACAGTATCGATAATTAATTGTCAATGTCGCTTTTAATTTTAGATGAGCATTTTGGATGGAGCATATTTTTTACTTGAGATATTTTGTACTTTGTATTCTTTTGACACTTATTTATTTATTAGTACAGATATATTTATTGCAGTACTTAATTATACATATTTTATTTTTGATGATTATATGCAAACAACTCTATTATCTCCTTGATAGAAATAGGCATTAAGAACATAAAATTATTGGTTGTCGCGTTCTGTGTGCAGAAACCAAAACTATATTTTTCTAGCCAGGAGCGGGATTCCGTAACTGTCTTTACACGCTTATCGACAGTCGTGCAGCTTTTTCACCATATAAAATATCTGTGTAACGACAATTGTCGGCAGGCATGTAAAGACAGTTACAGAATAGGAGTCCTGACTTCGATTGTAGGATGTTAGAGGGTCTTTACATAGGAAGGATAGTCGGTACGTTTCTATCTTATGGATTTAACAGACACGAACCACATCTACTTTTAATGATTTTATCAATAGTGTTAGAAAATAAATGTAGAGAGAGAGAGAGAGAGAGAGAGAGAGAGAGAGAACGAGAGAGTTGCAAACTGCTTCTCCTCTGATTGGCCACGGTCATCAAAATTACATGGAAGAGATTGGTGAAAACTGATCACATGCCTCTATCCTGATTGGAAAGGGCATTAAAACTCTATTATCAGTTTACCAGTCTCTTCCTCTGACTTGGCTCTCTAGGCTTTATATATCTAAGACTCTAGTCTAACTGCAGTTCCCGCCACAGCTGATCTAAATCGTTTTACATGAGCTGCGAAAACTGTCTGTACCGTTTCAAACTGCTTAGCCAGACTGGTCTAGAGCATTTATATTTTTCAAGATTCGTGTGATTAAAGATAACTGAAACTAACCAAAAAGGTAATTAAAACTTTATTCAAGTGATAAACGCCACGCCATATTATTTGTGAATAAAATAGCTGTTTTCATACGCCGATCAAGTATTATCTTCTCTTCAGATCTTGAATTATTACTTTTGTAACTTGTAAGATGAAACCGGTTACTGGTGCTGAAACAGTTACTTCTGAGGTTAGTGTATCTATTTCTCTTTTTGCATGAAACTCTAAAAAAAAATGATGTTACAATGTGTCATTTTATATTATAAACTTTTATTCGAACGAAAAGAATATATATAATATTTTTACAATATATTTATACTCTTGAATATAATATTCCAAATATGCAAAACCGGAAGGTCATTTCAACTGTTCAATCATATTTATGATTGAACAGTTATAGGTACATATAAAAAAAAAATTTCAATTTGTTTCAGTTTATTGAATTTTGTTAATGTTTTTAATGTTAATTACAAAAATAGCTGTTCAACATTCATATTACAATTAATTATTATCGTAGAAAATGTGTTGTATTTTACTTTGGATTAAGAATATATATTTGTAGTGTAGAAAACATTTGATTATAAATTGTATTTCTGTTTATTACTGTATATTGTTATAAACAGATTTTAAAAATTGTTATTTAATAATAATATATATTTTTAATAAGATTTATTAAAAATTCATCTATATATCATTATACATACTTAATATTCTTCCTAGATGGAAAATATATTATATATTATAGACAAAATTTATAAAGTTATTACAAACATGTTTAAGAAAAGTATATTTATATAAGTTAAACACAAGTTATAATATTTGTATGTAAAATAAATGAAATAATCTACTAGAGTATATCATAGTTACAATAGTTTAATAGAGTGTCATTTCTTTAAAAAATTTATCTTTTCTATTGAAACAGGATAAAGTTAGAAAATCTTTACATGAACTCCAGCCCTCAGCTATTGATAAGGAAACTTTAGTTGGTGCTGATAGAATGATCAAATCTACTCAACAAACAAAAGAAGCAAAATCAAAAAAGTAAGTTAATTTATTTTTCTTACTTGAACATATAGAGACTGAGTGCAAGGACACAGTCAAATACAGTTAGTAATGGGTACCAAGATGCTTTTGAATTAGTTCGAATATATCATAAAAAATGTGAATTAATTAGAATTTGAATTAATATGATTTGAAATTATACAATCTTAAAAGTTATTATACAATCTTAAAGGTTTTGAAAAGTTTTGAATGCTTTAATAAATTTTAAAGTGAATAAAATTTTAGTGAGTAAAAATATTAAATAAATATAAATAATTATAATACATCAAAGAAATGATGTTCAAATCAAAGAAACTTTTTTTTAACCTTTATAGCAAGTTCAAATTACTTCAATTCAAACAAAATTTTGTTTAATTAAAGAAATTAAAAATTATCAAGATTTATCAAGATTTATGAAGACTTTCAAAATCTATCAAGACTTTCATGTCCTATCAAGAATTTCAAAATCTATCAAGACTTTTAAGAGTGTACATTTTTAAATAATATTCAAAATGTTTTGAAGCAGAGCAATCACTAAATTGATTAAAATTTTACAAGAGATATGATTGAATACCTATCATTAGACACAGTGTAACACAGTGAATCATTACATCCTTGTTGTTTGCCTATATTAAACAAGGATGAAATGATTCACTGTTACACTGTACCTGACTGTGTCCTTGCTGGTAAACGCTCATTGTAATAAATATTTGTAAATATATTTACATTTTTACTTTTTGCCTAATAAGAATACATGGAGAAGAGGTGATTTCTTAAGCCGGTTCTACATTAGTTGCAAGTCGATCGCAAATTTGTTGCAACAGCCAATCTGAAGCTTGCATTTTGAAATCAACGCTTCATATTGGCTGTCGCAACAAACTTGCGATCGGTTTGCAACTAATGTAGAACCGGCTTTATAAAATAATTATTTGAAAGAATGATAAAATTTTATAGAAAAAATTGAAGTTAAGTCTATATATATATTTTAGAAATGTACCTACAAAAAAGAAAAAAGATACTTCTAAAAATCAAGTGAAAGTGACAACCAGTAACAAAGCTATTCAAACTGTGAAAGAGGAAAAGGGAGAAATTGACGCTGAGGATCTAATATGCACAGGTACATTTAAAATAATATATTCTATTTCTCCTTTTCTTTCTATATATTTTTAAATTATAAATACATAAAAGATATGAATTTATTAAAACATTTCTTTCAGATATAGCTGGTCCAAGTGAAAATTACTGGCAAGTATTAGCTGAAAGAAGGCGATTAGCGCTTAAGGATACTTTAGAAGAAAATAAAGAACTTGCAAAACGTAATGAAAAGTTAGAAGAAGAAAGTCGTATTTATAAACTAATGTTGGATGAAGCAAGAGCTCTTATTGAAGTGTTACAGGTAATATTATATTTCTATTGCATTGATACTATATATTTAGCATCAATTACTATTTTATAATTATATATATATGTTATGTATTTTATTGCAGGAGATGATGGGAGATGACAGAAACGATATAAATAATTCATTAGAAGACAGTGTCCTTTAATTTACGAGTTGATTTCTTAAAGTTATAACGGAGGTCAAAAATTTCTATATAAAAATGTTGAACGCATCCAAACTCACAAAAGTCAATATTTTAAATCAAAGGATTCTTGAGTAAATTGTGAAAAAGTAGGCTATACATACACACATACTGTATTCAATAGTTCCACTATTGAAATTATTATTATAACTATTTCCAAACGTTATATCTTAGACAGAGAGATACTAAATGTAACATTTAATCTTCATCAAAATATATTTTATTGTAAAGGTTTGGATGCTTTCAACAATTTTGAATAAAAATTCGCTAGTTAAGTATTTGTTAATTTACTGTATCGTTCCTTTCTTATAATTATTTATACTGTCAAAAATGTAGATTAAAATCGTATTCATTATTCAATATACATTTTTTATCAACTTATTCCTCATTAGTTTTGTAGACAAGTACACTAATATTGTACGCGGAAATAAATTTAATTTAATACTAAAAACATTGTCACTACATATCAATAAAAAGAAATCTAATGATGATTGAATCATTTATTATTTAAGTACATAGTCAGATACACAAAATAAATTTCGATTTTACTGTACATTTTAAAAAATATTCTGAATCCATCATAAAACGAACCAGGTACGTTTCAGTAAAACTTCTTAGAAAAATATCTTCTTCTAAAATTAAACTTTTTTCACATATTTTTATTTAGATATGTAAATAAATAGAATGCATATGCATATGTATATGGCATTACTGCAAAAATATTTTTTTGCATCAATTGCCTTGTTTTGTTATATGGCACATAGCATCAAACTGACATTCTTCATCGCGATCTGGATATATTGCTTTCATAATATTTAATGGACATGGCATGTCTTTCGGACAGCCTGGTAAATATACCGGTCGTTCCTGAAGCATGAATAAGACACTGGGTCCGTAATATTCGCAACTAAAACGAGAGTAATTAGGTAATTATATATGACAATATATTATGTAATATGTATAATTTCATGATTTTAAAAAAGAAACATACTCATACAAAACAAATGCCATGTTAGTTGCAAACGTATCAATAATACTACTCCTCCAAGCTCTTTTATCTTCTTTCTTGCGTAATACGAAGGAGTCATGCGTTAAAGGATGCGCATCTTTGGCTAGTCCGAGTAACGCTATTAATTTTAAAATTGTGCCAGAATGTGTAAAATAAGCTGTTGTCACTGCCGCTTCATTAGATCTGAGAAATAATAACATTCTTATAATATATTGGACTGTGTTCAAACTTTATCCGGATATACCCATGTATCATTTTATCTTTGATAATACATAGATGTATCCAGTGAGGTTTCTAAACGTAGTCCTACACAATTGAAATATATTTAATTGGCAAGATTTACAATTAGACAAAATGATTCCACAAATGTTTAGAATAAAGCTGCATTAAAATTGCAATCTTATATTTATGAACTAAATATTATTGATTAAAGTTTTCTCTTTAATTAATGAAAATCTCTGATATGTAAGTAACTCAAAAAGATTTAAAGCATCCTCCTGTTTTTGTTATTTTTACTGAAAGATTGCAGTAAGAAAAACACAAGAACTTTATATTAGATTGATTATTGCAATGCATATAAATTTGCATACCCAAAGAAATCAAACATATCTTTTAAGACAGCACACGCTTGCTCATAAGTCAATGGATAGCCATATCCGTCGATCCAATAGAATTCTAAATCTTCTATGTATTCAAAGATCTATAAAATATGAATATAGAATTGAATGCATAATGAAATTTTTATCCGTATAAAAAACATATTTTACTTTAATTTAAATCTTACTTTGAAATCATTTGATGAAAATATTTTACACCAGGGAGATATTATATTTTGATTTAAAGCAGTTTCAAAAGCACACGTTGTGTACATTAAATTTACAGTTTCTGAAATATCGATTGTATATAACAATTGACATATAAATATTAGCAGCAATCAATTGATATTTATTTAATTTATACACAATATATTTAATAAATACTAACCATAATCAATATTGAGACCAATGCGCTTCTTAATATTGTCTACCATATTTCTAACAATTTTGCTATCCAAAAATTTCGTTTTCTCTAATTTTGCATCTAAATTCTTGTCAACTTCTTGGCGCCAGCGAGGACAAGCTTTATAAAACTAGGAACACAGAATAATCATGTACCTAAAGAACTAAAAAAATTAGGAGCAGAGTAAATTGCATGAGAATTTAAAAATAATGAACTCTTACTCTTATCACTCGATCTCGATATACTGGTAATGGATACCAAACATTTTTGCTATTATGCCAACCAAATAAACCAACAGCAAAATGTCTTGCACTCTCTTCTGTACGTTGTGTGGCAGTGAATCTAAACTGAAATTCAGCTGGTGATGAAGGAAGAAATATAGAATATGTATCTAATATATTTGGATTTTTCATTGTACATACTTTATATGTTTGATTGTTAAAAGCTTCTGGCATTAGAGATGGAAATCTTGCCTGATATCTTTCTCCGAGATCAATCATTTCATTTTCTCCTTCCACTGCCAATTTCATCATGTTTCCTTGAGTAAATGATAGTTTCCATTTTTTAAACAGAGCTGCTTCATCAGCTGACAAATTTGTTGCTGCGTTCTTATAATTTTTTAATATTACATGTTGCAGCTCTGGTAAGTCTTCTATCATACGAGGTATATACTTCTTGCCTGGATATCGAGTTCCATGACGAAAAATCAACCAAATCTTTTTCTCCACACAATCTGTAAATCAAATGACGATAAATACACATTAAGAGTTTTATATGTGCATCAAAGATATTAATGATATTATAATACCTGGATATTCTAATGTTGATTCATCATAATTAGCTACACATCTATAAGGAGTTTTCGAGCCTAATCTACATCTGTAACTGTCATTACGCTTAGAATTATCAGAAGCAAGAGAAATATCTACTACCATACAAAATATAAGAATTTTAGCAGATAATTTCCAAAGCATTCCGAAGTCTTATAGCGTCATAATCATATCACACTCCACAGATATAGTAAATATATATATGTACTTTTTTCTTAGTTATTTAACATAATACATTCTAATATAATAGTTTCTTTTATCTGCAATAAAAGCATTTTATCAGTGATAACTTCGTCATAACAATACTATATACGCCACGTAGTATCCACATTGCTTAAACTTTTTCGAACGCTGTGTAGAGTATGACGTCAGTGCTATAGATTTTTTTTTCTCCACGCATGTGATTCTATTTCATTCCAAGTGCAGAAAGTACAGTAGTGTAGCTGAACTTATTGTTCATTTCTCTTTTTCTATCCAACTGCAACCGTTCACTGCGCTGCACTGTGCAGGCATGAATTGAAATGTTAAAGAGGCTAAAGAGTGAGGTTATTTGTTAGTTTACTTCTGAAAAATCTAGTAGAATAAGTATAACTAACTAGAAGTATATGGAAGTAAATGCGATTTTTATTGAACAGTAGTGCAGTCGTTATTGTCTAATATAATCATAGGAAAAGTAAGACGAAATTTGCTCTCTGTGATGTTCTATATTGTTTTGCAACACAAACTACAGTATTTAACAATTTGTTACAGGTATATACAAAATATATTCTTGCACTAAACGAATGCAAGCCAAAGTACCGATGAATTCAAATTTAAGATATTAACAGTCAAATAATTATTCTGTAGTTCAAGCATCGTTGAAAGTAATTTTTTTTTGTTTTACAGAATTTATATAAATTTTTTTATTAATTAATTATGATAAATTAATGGTACATTAACAATTATCTTAATAGCTCATATTATATGTAGCTTTACATTTAAATAAATGTGTATTAACATTAAATTTTATTAACTTAGATTAATCTAAAACTTTGATAATATGATTAGATGGGGAAGAAAAGAAATATTCAACCTCCACCAATAACGCCAGGACGGATAAAAGTAGAAATAAAAAATGAAATAGGTAATGATAAAACAACAAATTATTGCAAATTATATTGATATATTAAATATTATATAACTGATTATGTTTATAAATAACAATAAATAAAGGGCAAAGTAAGAGTCAGCGCATTTCTTTAAAAAAGTCATACAATTAAAAGACATTTAACAAAATAAAAGTCACACAATTAAAAGAATAAATTAACAAATACAGAAAAAATAAAAATGACTTTTTTAAAGAAATGCACTGACTTTTACTTTGCCCTTTATTTATTGTTATTTATTTTATATAGGAAGAGTCCTTAAATTTTTGTTATTTGATTATATTTATATAGGAGATAGTGATGTTCTTGTAGCAAGGGATCGTTTAAAAGGTGCTCTTCGAGAATTATTACACCATAGTGACACTGGTTCATCAGCAGAATCAGATGACAGTCCTATTTCGGATTATAAACATCCCATGAAGAAAATGTAAATCTCAAAATCTATTTATAATTATGTTAAGATAACATTATTCGAGATAAACTAATTTTTCAGTAATTGTGACATTTAGGACAAAATCCATGAATGTTCCACGGAGAGTCAGACGTCGTCGGCCAATACAGACTGATACAGCGTTCCATCATACATATGTGATGAAATTATTTGATCGCAGTGTCGATTTAGCTCAATTTCGAGAAGACACACCACTGTATCCAATATGTCGTGCTTGGATGGCCAATCAACCGAGAAATCCTCATTTGGCCCCTAAGTGAGTAAAATTATATAGATACTATTTATTTTACTGATAATATTTGTTTTGCTATATATTATGATATATATTTGTTTTGATATATATATATATATTTGTTTGATATTATATTAAGTTTTAAGTGATTCTCTTTTAAAATATTTTATCATACTGTGGAATTTTTCATGTGTATGACAATTAATATTATATTTCTTAATTATACTACAATACTTTTTTTGCATTTCTTGTAATTTAAAAACTTATATATAACAAGAATGCAAAAGACAATATTTTAGTGATTAAATTAAACAGGCCAGGTAGTTTGGAGGGTCAAAAAATCAATGATTTTTGTATGAATTTTTTTATGAAAAAATGGTTACAGCTATCAATTTTACGTTTGAACCTATATTTTATTTGCACTTTATGCAATAAGTATGAATTATTATTAATTAAAATGTGTTGAAATGTTTGAGAGGAAAACGTATCCACATGGGGTTTTGTTAAATTGCTGACATTGTGCAGCCAAAACTAATCTGAAATAAAAAAATCAAATTGATTTGTAATTATTAATGTTGAATGTATACAGTAAACCTAACAAAATTATTAAAAAATCGCACAATTTGTTAAAATTATAAAAAAAAGATCCTTTTTTGATAATTATTTTTCCCATTAAATTGCTAAAAAACTATTACTGTTTTAAAAAATTTATTATTTTTTTAGCAAATAAATTAAGGAGAAATAGCCCATGTGAACATGCACAGGATACTTTTTGTTTGGAAATTGTCATATATTAAAAAATAAATAAATAGGTTACAGACGTTTCAACATCATAATTGTGTCCTCTTCAAGTGCGAACATAATATAGACCAGTATATAAAAGCATTCCAATAAAATAAAATAAGATTGTCAACAGTAAAAAGTTATCAGAATTGAAAAAACATCGTTAAACTGTAAAAACTCAATACTATCTTCGTCTGCCGTATCTTGACGGATACTCAAACTGATAAGGAAGTCACTATAATAAAATAAAGTAGAATAAAAACTTTGGTTCAATATCAGGTTCAATATTTAAATCATAAAAGTAATTAGTTAAAATAATGTTTTTTTTCTTTACTTAAGAACAGATTAACGATATTCTATATAAATTGATCAGTAAACGCTGAACATAAAATTACGAATGAGAGATCAAGACAAAGAATTGTTTATAACAAGTTAAAAATCCCGAAGTGGCATCTATAAACAAACAAGATCATTATAAAGCGGGCTATTTCTCCTTAATTTATTTGTTAAATATTGGAATTTTTGAATAATTTATTATTTTTTTTAGGTTTACCGTATGGAAAAAATAGTTTTAATAGTTTTAACGTATAAAAAATGATGATCAGTGCGTTAAGCCGTTTTCTCTCTACAATGTCAGCAAATTTGAAAAAACACGTTTCAA